AACGAAGAAAGCACCGAATATAACGAGGGAAGCACCGAATATAATGGAATAAGCACCGAATATAATGAAGACAGCACCGCATATAAAGACATAAGCACCAAGTATAATGGAATAAGCACCGAGTATAATGAGTTAATCACCGAATATAATAACATAAGTACTAAATATAATGCCATAACCACCCAATATAATAAACAAAAGTATCATAAGACAGTTCTGGCATTCCATAGCAGAGGCTTACCCCATGTTTTAAACGGTTCATTCACATAAAAAGTCAATTTTGAGGAACAATCTGGCACTTTTTCAATGTTGCAACACCTTATTATCCAATTTTCGTTCTGTTATCTGTTAAGTGATCATTTATGGGAGGTTAAAAACAAAAGAAAGTTTCAAACTTTTAGCTCCAAAGGTTTTCGCAGTCTCTTACAAGAGGTGGTCGCTTACAAAAGGTTTCAGATATAGTGATTTGACTTAGAGTGTTTTTGTATTTTGGAATACTGGTCACTGAGGAGAGGAGGTTGCAATCAGAGGTTTGACTGTTACAAAATTCCTCTCACAGTTTAGGGGAATTATTATCCGGCTTTCCCTCTGAGATTGGGTCCCCTTGATTTGAAATGTAAACATCTTGAAACTATTTTGATATTTTATTGTCTCTATTTTATTGTCTCTCCAATCACATTAGCAACTTGTTCACTTGTTAGTTTTGTTAAAATACTCTAAAAAAGTTACTGAACAGTAATTATAAGCAAAGGTATTTTAAGACACAAGCAAGTAAAAATTAGCAATAAAAATGAATGGCGTTTGGGAGTCATCTTGACACCATTTTCGAGTTCAAAAGGAAGGTGGTAAACTGTCAGAAAGATTAACATTATAATAAATAATTAATTACATCTGTACTTGCAAAGTCACGCCATGTTGTTCGTTTTTATCGCAAATTTTTACTTGCTTGTGAACAGTAATTATTCCTTTAAAGATACTAATACAGTCGACTCTTGTTATATAGTGGACACCCACATCATTCAGGGTACTTAGTAGGGAGAAGGTGCAATAGCTGGGGGTGGGGGTGGGGGTGATGATGAAATTGCACCAAGTTTTGGTTGTGAAGTGTTGCACATGACCTATACTGGTTTCTTTTTAGGTTGAAACTTGTATATTCAGTCAATATTGATGAAAATACTGTACAAACTAGTGAACATCTCAAAACTACAGAAGAAGTACTTAATATATTAAATACTTCTGAGTTGTGTATTTTGACAAGAGTAGAACAATGAAGATTTTTGTTTCAGACCACATGAAGTGTCTGCAATTTCAAAGTAACAGGCTGGAGGTTGTTTAGGAGAAATATACATTTCTTCGTACAGTAAAACCCTTATTAAGCGGCCACCCTCGGGAACGTGAAAGGTTGCCACTTAATAGGGGTTGGCCCCTTAATATGGGTTGGTGTACACGTACTTTGAATATTTTTTTCAGATCGGGTTGATTGCTTGGTGAACATAGCGT